AAATTAAGAGATTAACCCTCAAAAACCAAGAGAGTAACTGGAACATAGTGTACATTCAATCAATACTTGTTGAATTAATTTCCTCTAGATTTTTATGTAGTGGAAAATGGTACATATCTCAGAATAGCATACGCCAATCTCATTTTTAAATAAGAATAAAAATTTATATCAGTATAAAAATTGATCTGCCTATTCCACTCCACTCTTAATAACTCAGAACGTCTGTGGCTTGAGTTCGAAAATTTGCATTTCTACAAGCTGTTCTTCATGTCAATGAATCTGATGTAGCCACGTTCAGTATGCCATCTAACCTGAAAGTAGGATGTTCCTATGATGAAAATATGTAGAGTGCACACACATATTGAAGTACTGAGAATTTCAAAAGAATTCCAAGGGAAGGAGAGCTGATACGGCAGGCTCTAGGCAACACGCAGGACTGAGTTCATCCCAAGGTGGAGGCCTGAGGTCATGCATCACCAGTGAAGCCTACACTACCTGTGCTACTAGGAAGGCAATTCCAGGAAGGAAAGGACAAGGTGTGGTGGGATCTACCCAAGAACATCCTCCATGTCAACGAGCATGGAGGTTCTGTCCAAAGATTTTCCTTCTGGTTTTCAGACCATGGAAATTAGGTGGCTGATATCAACAAGCCCAAAACCAAAAATTTTAAAAAATCAGAAATGTTTGTTAGAAAAATATATTTAGCAGGAAGAAAATACCCAATCTATTATCAGGTACTTTATATTCACAATAGGAATTCTTGACATAATTCTGAGTCTGGATAGTAGACCCAGAGGATGGATTATGTCATCCCAAACTCAACACAGCTACTTTTACTTTTAATAGATGAAGCTATAACTTGATCCCATGACATATTCACTTTTCAAGGATGGTGTTACTTGGGGGAACTGAGTAGTGATCACTCCTCCACACACCTGTTGACATTCATCCATCTTAGTTTCCTGAAATTCTTGGCTTGATGATAAAGAAAACAGAAGAAACTACGTTCATCCTAATCCTGCTCCTGCCCTCAAGTAAAATTTTTAAAAACTAGCAGATACACTGGTAGGTGTCCTTGACTCAGAACAGATTACAGAAAAGATGTTCAAAGCCTTTGAAAGAAAACCAAAAGGATCTGCACAAACAATGTGGGCAAACACGAGTGGTATTTGGAGCTTAGTCCAACCCTGCCCGCTGGCTTCTGTGCATGAACTTACGGCAATGCCACTTATAACTGCATGTTAAAAAATTAAGGTTCTGATTTAGAAGATCTGGGCAGATTCAGTGCCTGCCTAAAGTGTTTTAAGAAGTGTGGACACACTTGGTCTATGGACCAGACTTGGAATTCCAACATATCAGAGAGCATAAACTGGTAAGCTGAAAAAGTGGGACCAACAGTATCTGCGATCTTCCTCCTCTGTGGAGTGGCCTCTGCAAGGACAGGCTGCTGTCCCCACAATTATACTGCTCTGGTTTCACAAATCACACACTT